TAATTATCAAGAATTGACGTGTTTCCAACCCATGTTCTAAGAAAAACGGTGGGATAATTTTTTTTGTTTATTAAAATTAATTGACTTCATTTTATTTAGAGTAATATGTTTTTTTTTTGTTTATTTCGAAAGGTTATGCCTTAAAACTGAAGAAACGAAAATTAATTGTTAAAAGNGTATATATATATATATAAAGACCTTGAATTCAACGATAAGACATTTTAGGTTTAATACACAATTTTGTTCTCAGTTTGGTTGACAAATCTCAATTTAGTCCCTCGTTAGAAAAATGTTTGAAATGAGTCTTTACTTGTAAATTTATGAATATAACCAAACAGAGTTAATGAGATGATAATGTGACAGTAGTTAGTGATTACGTGTGAAAATATAATTATGTGCGTGCTTACGTGTTGGTTAATTAGAGAAGAAAGGGTTTTATTAAGAATTTGGGTTTTTTAAAAATCAATTTCTCCATTCTCAATCAAGATAACAACTCATATTCAACCATCGTCATATCCATCTTGCCACTCACAACTACTACCAACACCTTTTCACCATCTTCACCTCCATCGAATGTCCATTCTCATCCTTCTTATAATACTTTTCTCCTATTTTCTCTGTTTTCAAACAAAAACATAACACACCAAAAACAGATTTATAATCCCAACCTTCATTACGTTCGTTATCACCATTCCCCAAACCTTGGTAACGATCAGTGTCGTCGCCGACAGTTTTGACCGGCCAGTGGGATGCGCGACGGTGTTAGGCTGATGGAAGGCAAGGTTGCCATGGTTGGGAGTGAAGAAGAGACTCTAAACTTTGTCCCAAGAGAGAGAAAAAAAAGAAACCCTAGTTTCTAATCTAAAGGAGCTTTGGGCCTATACACCAAAACCTTTTATTCTCTAATTAACTAACACGTAAGCATGCACACAATTATATTTTCACATATAACCACTAACTACTATCACATCATCCCATTATATTTAATGAAAGAGACTAATTTGACTCATAAATTTACAAATAAGAATTAATTTCAAATACTTTTTCTAGTGATAGACTAAATTAAAATTTGTCAACCAAACTGAGGACAAAACTGGGTATTAAACCTTTTTATGAATAATAATGCAATTTCATCCAGTAGCAGGAGTTAGCTTTTGGAACCTCTCATGTCATGGATGCTTTAATGTGTGGAAACAAACAAGGGCCATCCTAAAATATTTTAGAACAAAAGAATAATTTAGAATAATTGATGGTCCCACTCCCACACGCAACATACACGGCACATTTTCATACGTTACAACTTACGACGACACATGCACCACTGCATGCCTTCTCAAAATGAAATACAACTCTTACAAATAAAATAACAAAATTTTAAAAATATATATTTTAAAATAAATAGGTTTTTGTCCATTGTACACTTTTTAAAATTTAATTCAATTTAATTTCTGAATTTTAAACTTTAAAAGTATATAAATTTAACTACTTTAATTATTTTTTTAAAAATTTATTTAACATTTTTTAATGATAACATTTAAATTACTTACACAATTTAATATATATTTTATAAAAATTAATTAAGAAATATATTTAAAATCTTAAATAAATTTAGATTAGAAAAACTAAATTTATATTATTCTAAAAATAGTAAACTAAATTAATCTAAAATTTCAAAAATCGTTAATTCAAATTTTTACTAATTAAAAATTCAAAAACAAAACCATATTTAACCTTTCTTTAGGTCAACCTAAGCTACAGTTTAGAAGCAAAATATTAACATTATCATAATATTTTTCTTTCATTTCATATGAATAATATTTCTGTTGTATAATTAAAATTAATAAATAGTGGATTCTAAATAGATAAATTAGTAGTATTAATTAGTCTTGTTCTAGGAACGTATTTTATCCTGTCTCAGTCTGTATAGAACGGCATCGTGTCGCCGCGTAGTCTACCTCTACTACCGTGTCTTTTTTTTTTTAATTTTTTATTTGCCCTAATGATGCATTTCATAGTAACACAACACAACACAACTTATTAATTACCAAAATGGAAAATATCTCTCCGTCTCTTATTCTCGAGTTACAGTGAGATCACACACAAAGGGAAGGTCGAAGCTCAACAACCATGGCTACGGCCACTTCCAACGCAACCATATCTGTGCCTTTCATTTCCCATGGCTCCGCTCGTAACTTCCAATTCCTCCATCTTCTATCACCACTCGAAACTGCAACTCTTCCTCGTCGTTCTTGTTCTTTCAGGTCACAGAACAACAAAACGACAACGTTATCACCGAGAGGCTACGGCTGTCACCAAAGTCGCGCCGCCGGAGAAGACCTTGGCATCTCGGAGGAAGACGAAGAGTTCGTCAATGTTCTTAGGGAATCTCAATCCTACGTTTTGGCCCACAGAGCCAGTGTTTTCGTTGTGCTGATATCTGCAGAAGTTGTTGCCAGTCCTTACTTTGATCCCATTCTCAAGGTATCACATCGCTCCTCTCTCTCACTCTCAAATCAACTCAATTCAACAAACCTTTTTCATTTTTGCAATTGATTATTTTTTGAAAATGTCCCCACAATGCTTACTCAATACCATTAAAATATGATGTTTGTAAAATCTTTTATAGAAAAAAAAAGGAGAAAAAGAAAAAGTTTAAAGTTCAAATAAGTTTTTTTTTTTAAGTTTTGTTCTTTCAAGTCAACTTTTGTTTATTGTTCACTTTTGTCTGATCAAAGGAAAAAAAAACATTGTTTTTTTCTCTCTATTTGTTATTTTAACTATACTGCAACGAACAAATTGAAGTTTGCATGTTCTGTGTATAGAATTAACTCAACATGTGAAGATAATTTAGGCAACAACCGAACTAGTTTGATTTGAAACAAAAATGCTAAATTCCTGGCTTCGTTGCTTTTTACGTAGAAAATTTCGAAAATATAAAAATATTAGTGGTAGCAAATAAACAATTACTTAAATAAAAGGTAGTTTTCAAAAGCTGAAAAAAAAAATAGTGTAGCATAGGCTGAGACGATAAAAGGAAACAAGTAAATTTAAGAAACAGTTAAGAACCACGTGTCACTTTTGGCTTCACACGTTGAAGTGGCGTGTCTTCTCGAGGAGAGGACAAAGTGCATGTAATATTAAAATACGAATATTGAATAAAAGGGTAAAAGTTTCACAATATAAAATCTTTAGGGCAATAAAAAAATATTCTTTTCATGTAATTTTAATTTAAAAATATATTTAAATTTACGTGCACGATATGCAATCCTATAGGTTTCGTTTCTTAACTTTAGGTGATCTTAAAGCATGACGTATCTTTTCTTTTTCTCTTTTCTCTCAGTAATTATCAAGAATTGACGTGTTTCCAACCCATGTTCTAAGAAAAACGGTGGGATAATTTTTTTTGTTTATTAAAATTAATTGACTTCATTTTATTTAGAGTAATATGTTTTTTTTTTGTTTATTTCGAAAGGTTATGCCTTAAAACTGAAGAAACGAAAATTAATTGTTAAAAGATATCAGTCAATTAAATTATTAAAATAAAGATTTTAATTTGTTTAGTTATTAATGCAAATTATTCATCGCATTAAACAATGGCTACGTACTAAAAGATCCATGTTTAATATTTATAAATCAAGTCAATATTAATTTAATTACTAAATTAAAACATTAAACATTGTTTTAACTGAATAAAATTAAATAAAAACAAAAAGTGTTAATAAATCTTAAAAGATGTTGGGATACAAACAAAGTCTCACGTCGGAGAAGAGACAAATATGAGTCTCCATTGATAAAAGACCTTTTGGAGTAGTGCTAAAAGCAAACTCAAAAGAGACAATATCTTATCAAGTATGAAGATATATGCAAGTGTCGAACCCCGCAAAAGATAATAATAATAAATGTAATATAATTTAAAAACTTAAAATATATATATTTTTGTATAAAAATGTTTTTCCTTCTTTCCTTTCTTGTTTAGGAATATGATAAAATAATAAGTCTTTTTCTTTTTACAGTATTTTATCAGAATGAATTATCAACATCGAATTTAACAAGTAGGACACGAAAACGTAAGTGTGGATAGAACATTATTATATCAAAAACTGATATTCTCCTTCACTTTCAAAGTTTCCTTTTTAAATATGTTTTTTCGAACTTCAGTTTATTTAATTTAGGTTCATATGCAAAATTTGTTTTTTTGAAAAAGAAAATTGCATACTTTAATAATAAATGCAAGGAAAGCATCAATGCAATTTGATTAGAATGTTTAATGTTTTAACATTAAATTAAGAATAATAATTTTAAATAAAGTACAATAAGAATGCTTATCAAATTAATGATCGACAGTGACTTTGTTTCTCCAGGGACATGACATAAATTTTTAACCAATTCGTTAAAACATGTATTAAATAATTCCTCTTATATTTTTAACGTAATATTCTTCCTTTTATATATTTTTAGATATTATAAATCCTTTCTAAATGTTATCAATTATTTCTCATTGAATATACTACAGAAATGAGTTCGGAAGTATGAATAAGTGAAAATTTTGTATTATTATTAAATAATTTTAGCGATGAGGGTTGCGATAATGACAACATACACAAATTTTAAAGAGAGACAAATCTATTTAACTGAGCATTATTACTAATTATTATTATTATTAATACAATATATAGATAGTATTCTTTTAATAACTTAACTGATTGCTCAAAGGGAGGAGCACTTTTGTTTAGACCAAAACATACTCTCTCCCTCTCATTTGTGTAAGGATTTTTCACAAATAATAATAAATATACTACCTTTTAAACAGTTTTATTAATTTATTCATCTCCTTTTCAATAAAGGTATTGTTTTGATTCAAACAAAGAAAGTAATTAATTACAAAATAAATTAGAAAGAAAAAAATTAATATTTAAGAAGGAAACTCCATCTTTTTGTTAGATGGTTAAAACTATCAAAATCGGAGGAATTACTATTTACGAGTGAAAAAAGTATAGTTAAAGAACAGAAAAAGAAATTAGCATCATGCGAGTGAAGTTAGCAAATAGTTTCCTTGGCTTGGCGGCTAAAGTTTGAGAGTTTCCCCGCCACCGCCACCGCAACCGATCACCGGCACGGTGTGAAATCAGTTTCTTCTTAATGGCGCGTTCCTTATGCCCATCCATTCCGAACACTTCCACCTTCTCTGATTTCTGCAAACTATACTCCTCCTCTCACCATTTATGTTTCCACTCCCCAAAATCAAACCTGCAATTTAAGCCTCGTCGGGGCCCAGAAGAGCGGCCCCTGGGTAACCGAAAGAAAAGAAGTTCAAAGAAGCTTACTGCGTCGAGCGAAGTAGCGAATGGTTATGGGAGTATAGAAGCAGAGGGGTATAATGGGTCGGTGGAAGATAAGCAATTCGTGCGTTCCTTTCGCGAGGCCTGGCCTTACTTGTGGGCCTATCGTGGCAGCACCTTCGTTGTCATTATTTCTGGAGAAATTGTTTCTAGTCCTTTCCTAGATCCTATTCTCAAGGCACGCACTTCAAATTTTTATTTTCACAGAATCATGATCTTTTATTGCTAGCATTTTATTTGTTACATTGACTACTAGCCATGCCCATGTAGTAAGTGTACATTAAACTGAAAGCGTGTTTTCTAATTGTGGGTGCAGGACATAGCTTTCCTTCATCAGCTAGGTATCCGGTTTGTTCTTGTTCCGGGGACACATGTGCAGATAGACAAGCTTTTGAATGAGAGAGGTTTGTCAAAATAGGATCAGGCTTCTCTAAAGTAATCAAATCCTCTTTAAAGGGCAAACTAAGTAATCTTAGTTGTCGGTGAGAAAATGGTCTTTTGATGTTATTGCACAAATATAACAAATTATGAATGTCATAGGACATAAAGTAGTGATTTTCTCATAAACAACTGGATTGCTAACTTTACTATTACTTTAAGAGGAGCTAAATTTGTCGAATTAATCGGTTGCTTAGTTTTCTTACACCAGTGAGAATGATTAAATCAGTGTTAATTTTAACATTGGTAGTGTTCCCTGCAAATATCACTGTATCCTTTTCCCTAAAGAGAGAAAATGGAAGGACATTGTTAGCTAGAGCGGTGTCTCAGCGATTGACCTTATTCTTTTATTCGTAGGGTGCCAGCCTAAGTATGTTGGTAGATATAGGATAACTGATGAAGCATCTCTAGAAGCTGCGATGGAAGCCGCTGGGGGAATAAGATTGATGATCGAAGCAAAACTTTCTCCTGGACCTTCCATATGCAATATTCGTCGACATGGCGATAATAGTCGATGGCATGAAGTGGGTGTCAGTGTTGCCAGTGGTAACTTTCTTGCAGCCAAGGTTTGAATTTTGTGATTTGATCACTGCTATACAGTGACGGTGGTCTTTGTGAAATTGTCCCTCCCTTTATGTTTTTATCACCGTGTTAGTACATCTTGTTATTTTTATGTTTTGTCAGAGAAGAGGGGTGGTCAATGGAATTGATTTTGGGTCAACTGGGGAAGTTAAAAAAGTAGACGTATCTCGCATGCGTGAGAGACTCGATGGTGGTTGTGTAGTTATTTTAACCAACTTGGGCTACTCCAGCTCTGGAGAAGTATTAAATTGCAAGTATGCTTTGAAGCTTTATTCTGATGATTGATTTCTACAACTTAATGTAACTGATTGCTTGCTGAAATACTAGGTGTTATCTTAATGTTTTTGTAATTTGTGATTATTTGGTCTTTGGTCTCTTGTCAAATATCCACATTCCTCCTAAAAGTTATAATTCTTCTAGGATCTTTTTTTAAGAATTAAACTTGTGAATAGATTTGTAAAAGCACAAACGTATTTTGGTTGCTCAAGGAAAGAAAGAATAAGAGGAGTTGAATAGAAGGTTTTATTAAGTGAGATGGGAGGAGCAAATACTGAGAAACTAATGGTGCCGGCTTTTTGGCAAGTATGTGTGAATCAAAATACTACTAGTGTTACAAATGAGTTCTATTTTCCCCCTTATTGTATGTTTTTGTTTAGTTTGTAATACTTGGATATGGTCTAATAATACAACAGAAAATATATTATTAATAAAGAGAAGAAATGGGCAGCAAAAACCATGTGTGCCTCATCTGATTCTTTTGCTTGCTGACACGTGAGAGTTGCTAGACTTGAATCCGACAAAAGCTTGAATCCTGGATATTTATTAATGATTTATTTTTCCTCCAGCACCTATGAAGTAGCAACAGCTTGTGCCTTGGCTATAGGAGCAGACAAGTTGATATGCCTTATAGATGGTCCAATACTTGATGAGAATGGACGTTTAATTCATTTCTTGCCTCTTCAAGAAGCAGACATGCTAATTCGTAAACGGGCTGAGCAAAGTGAAGTAGCTGCTAACTATGTCAAAGTTGTTGATGAAGAAGGTTTCAACTCTCCTGAATATAACAATTTTAATGGAATAGTCAAACCACCACCTATTGGGCGTTTCACAGAATGGCATAAAATAACCTTCCACAATGGTGTTGGTTTTGAAAATGGAAATGGCTTAGAGTCCAGTGAGCAAGGTTTTGCCATTGGAGGTCAAGAGCGGTTAAGTCGAATGCATGGTTACTTGTCAGAGTTGGCTGCTGCTGCTTTTGTTTGCAGAGTGAGTCCATGGACTACCTTATTTTTATGACACGTGCTGTGCTTATTTTGAGTTTTTGATATATCAGCAATTGAGAGAAAAAAAAGCATTTTTCAAACCATGACCAGGCCAGGAGTTACATATTGTGTGTACATTTGTTTTTGTAACTGTATTGTATATGGAAGGATCTTAGAACTCTCTTAAAATATTGCTACTGTAAGGTGGTTTATTTGGAGTAACTTTCAAAATTCTTTGAGGAGTCTCTCCTTGGAAATTGAAATGGTAAAATATGGTTTAAAATTGCAATTGCTGCATGTTGCTGATAATACCAACTGCCATTTGTCAGGGTGGTGTTCAAAGAGTTCACTTGCTGGATGGAACTATTAGTGGAGTTTTGTTGTTGGAATTGTTTAAAAGAGACGGGATGGGAACAATGGTGGCTAGGTAAGCAACCTTCGTGAAATCCTCTGAACTAAGTTTTTTTTTTTTCTCTGTGTGAATTATTTTGTCCAAGAGTTGGTAACCTGTTTGGTAAGAGAAACAAGTGGTAAGGTATGGGGTAACCATAGTTTAGTGGGCATCCTAGTGGATTTTATGCTGGAGCTACCATACAGGCCACAAATGTGAGATTCAGGTTTATTTATAACCCCTTAGGGTAGCTAATTATCACATTGCTGTTTGTCGAGATTCTGATTGCATAAGGCTGGAAATACGTGGATTGGATCTGAACTCCATCTCTGAGCATTCTCTCTTTTTCTCTTCTATGAAACCATATGTTAAAAATGATTGGAGGATTAGTTGAAATAACTATGTTAGTGTTAGTACACAAGTTATAAATAGGTGTGATTTCATATATTTATTAGTAAGACATGGTCTATTTGGGTAAAGTTCCCTATCAGCAATTATAGGAAAAAAAGGAAGAAAAGGGTGAAATAAGTTTATCCATAAACTAAAACAAGCTTATGCATAAGTTTTGGAATTTGATTTTAGAGAAGATAACATTAGAGAACTACTTCAAATCA